CCGCTAATCTGAAACCTCTGTTACAGAGGAAGTTAGACATTAGAGAACAACAACGAACCTTTTAAATGTCCGACCTTTTGTGAGCTTGTTGCTTTCTGGTCAAGCCTGGCCTGAAAGATCGGTCAAATAAGGGAACACATCTGTGCATTTTGAATGTGTTTCATAATATACCACATATTGAAATGAAAGAAAACTGTTCCAATACACACTCTTGTTTTTTGTTCTTCTTTGATCATGTTAACAGTTTTGCCAAAACCGTTTTCAGCTTTTTACTCCTTTGTTGTAAATTGCATTTAAACTTTTATGTTGATCTTTTGTCTTCCAGAGTGCAGCGATGGAGGAGACAGTCATTTGGGAACAGCACACAGTTACACTACACAGGGTAGGTATTTGTTATCCTCCCTCTGCTCTTAGCATCCATCTTTGTCTGAGCCGCTAGAGCACCGTCTCACCATTTCCTCCAGACCAGCTTTTATCTCCCTATTTATACCCCATATCACAATTTGGAAGGATATTTAAAAGTGTGTGTCAATAAATTAGAATACCATTGAAACTTTCTTTTATTTCAGTAACTAAACTCGTATAATGACTCGCAGATCAACGTTTTCAAACCGTCTTTCTGTTGATTAAAACAATCCTCAACTGAAGGCTAATGAAAACAAATTTAACTGTATTGTCTGGTCTGTTTTATTTCATGAAAATAAAATATGAATAGAAACAACTTTTAAAAACTATTCCAGTTATTCTTTTGTCACTGAAAACATAATGCAACCATTTTTTTTTGGTTTACTTAATCATATTTAGTTGCTTTAACACAATTGTTTCATGTTTAAGGGTAGTACATGAAACAATTCTGTTAAAATAACTAAATATTATTAAGTAAATGCCAAAAGCGGTTGCATTATTTTGTTCAGCGTTAACATGACATTAATAATTGTTTATGGACCAGAAATACTTTGGGAATCTTGTTCTGTGCATTTATAAATCAAATATGTTAAATTGTAATAATTAAAACCGATCTAGCTCCATACTGTGAAAGCTGAAAAGTAGAAAAATCGACTTGACTATTTAACTATCTTGTACTTTAGATGATTAATATTTAAGGTAATTTTGTATTTTGTTTTTTTGTCCCAGTTTACATGAAATTAAAGTTCAACTAAATCCCAAGCTGATAAACATGGTTTTAGAATTAGTTGATATGCCCTGCGGTTTGACGGTTTGACACAAAAATATTTGCAATTTGTGGAATAAAGCTGGGCTTTCATTGTACGATTTTTTGCCCTTTTTCGGGACGACTTTCCAGTTGCGCGAGAATTTTCCGATCGGGCCGATTTTCAGCCTGACCATGTGTCGTGTTACAGGGGGTAACGAGGGGCGATCAGCCTCTAACGACCACCTCCCCATCAGGAATTGTAAGTTCGGAAGAAAATGAAACATGTTTGATTTTCAGTCGTGGGCAAATCGCTCAGTGCGCAAACAAAGATTCTTCTTCTTCTTCTTCTTCCTCTCAGATGAAATCACAGAATCATGGCGGGGGGGCAATGAGTGAAATGGAGTTCTTTCTGTCAAACTGACAGACCGTAGTAGCCACGT